TTTTTTTCTTAGTTTACTTTATTAATGTTTCTATTATTATTTGATTAAGGATAGTATTAATTCAAAACCTCAAATAATACTTTTAATGAGAGCGGAAAATTGTTACTGTGCTTTGCATGTTTCATTTGCTAGATAATTTATACTTATTGTATATAGTTCTGCAGAATCATGGTTTGATGTGATATGGCATAAACATATCAGTTAAGTAAGATGTTTAAGAGGTGAGATGTTGTAACCTGTTTTTGATAGAATATATATTTTTCTTTGATTATTAATTGTGCATGTCAGCGCTTGTGTAATATGGCTCAAATGTTTGTTTAATATTGTTTCTTAATCTCTGTCTCTGTCTTGTTTAACACTAATTGTCATCTTCTCTCTCTCTCTCTTCTCTCTCTCTCTCTCTCTCTCTCTCTCTCTCCTCTCTCTCTCTCTCTCTCACTCTCTCACTCTCTCTCTTCTCTCTCTCTCTCGGTCTCTCTCCTCTCTCTCTCTCTCTCTCTCTCTCTCTCTCTCTCTCTCTCTCTCTCCTCTCTCTCTCTCTCTCTCTCACTCACTCACTCACTCACTCACTCACTCACTCACTCACTCTCTCACTCTCACTCACTTCACTCACTCACTCACTCACTGCACTCACTCACTCACTCACTCACTCACTCACCACTCATCACTCACTCACTCACCTCATCACTCACTCACTCACTCACTCACTCACACACACACACCCACACCACACCCACACACTCTCACACTCACTCTCACTCTCTCACTCTCTCATCACTCACTCACTCACTCACATCACTCACTCACTCACTCACACCCACACCCACACCTCACACCCACTCACACACCACTCTCTCACTCCTCACTCACTCTCATCATCATATCTCACTCTCACTCATCTCACTCATCAACTCACTCACTCACTCACTCACTCACTCCACTCACTCACTCCTCACTCAACTCACTCACTGTCACTCTCATGGCCACTGCACTCTTTCACTTTTCTTTTTTAATTTTTCTTTTTCCTGTCTTCTTATCCTTCCCCACCCTTGTAGATTTCTTGCCCCCTTCTTTTCCGTCTTTCAGGACTTTTTGAATGATGATTTGATTCTTTTCATTCGCAGCAGGATGAGGTCCTTTACATCATGGGTTATTTTGCCCATTTTAAGTGGGTTATTGTTGACGTCTGCAGAAAACAGAATTGATGACTATCAGCCTCAGCATGTACACATAGTTATTGGAGGTAACTTGTTATTTTTGTTGTTATGATGATGATAATGATAATGATAAGAGGAACCATAACATTGTTATTAATTTTTTTTTAACAGTGTTGTTATTAATGATTACTTAGGAATTGAGATGATATAAAAAGTCTTTTAAATGTTAAAATACAGTTCACGCTTACTACAATTTATATTCTTTGGTTCAGTATTTGTATATTCCTTACTTATCAGATACAATATGATTGTGTAACTTTCCAAAATCAATTACCATTTTAAAGGAATAAAAGCTCTATTACATTCATAATTCAAATTAAAAGTAGTAATAAAAAAAAAGAATCCCTTCTGAATTTAGAATCCCTCACTCATTGCCTTTCCCCATTGCTTGCAGAGACCTCCAAGGACATGGTTATTACATGGACCACCTTCACAGACACTCCCTCAAGTGTTGTTGAATATGGGAATGCTGGGCTGACACAAACAGCCACGGGAAGCAGTACACAGTTCACAGATGGCGGTACTGAACACAGAAACTTGTGGATGCACAGAGTCATACTGAAGGATCTGCAGCCAGATACTATGTATTGTAAGTCTTTTCGTTTAAAGTTGGGGAGTCTCTAGCTATATGTTTTTATGAGATCAATTTTTGTGAACTTCCAACTTAAAAGTGTAATTATATATGCTTTTTCTGTTTTTTGTTTTTGTTTTGTTTTGTTTTGTTAATGATAGAGAAGGTCTTTAGAAGGATATGGTGGGATATGTTTTTGTCTGTTTATGAATTAACTGAAATGGATTTTTTTTTTTTTGTATGATTAGTAGTGATTTCATAGAAATAGTTCTTATTTTAGTTTCCTCATTCTAAAGAAAGGGAATCAATGACTGTACTTAAATGCTTGATCTTGTTGGGGATGTTCTCATCTATCTCCCAAACAGTATAACATCACTTCATATCTCCCCTGAAATCATAAGATATGCGCTTCGTTATCTCCCATCCTTGTTCGCCAAAGTAGTGATCACAAAGTCGGGTTTGTAGAGAGAGTCTCTTCAGTGTATGTTCTTTATTGTTGCTAAGCCAAGAGGGGTTACATACATCGCTGCTAGGGCATACATTTGACAGGTCATAGAAAACGGATTGCACATCGTTACAATGGTATCACAAACATAATAAATGTTAGTCAATTTCTACATAGTGTTAATAACATATATCATTTAGTGTATGTTAATACATAACTGATCTCATGAAAAGATAAGAACATTTGTTAGAAAGATGTTAGAAATTAACACTGATTATCAACTTGAGTGAATTATGATCAGTAAAATATCCATTTATGGTCATTTGTATTTTCTATGTGCTGCACCAGTAAAATATGTTGCACATCTTATGTTCCAAAAAGGATGATTCAAAATCGAAATGTCTCACTTACTAGCTTTCTGAAGTTCATTTTTATCCTTTATATATTTTTTTTTATGAAACTGATCCATATTAAAGAAAAGTATCAATAATGTATTTCTTCCTTGACAGTCTACCACTGTGGAAGTCAGCTGGGTTGGTCAGAACTGTTTGTTTTCAAGACCTGGAAGAATGGGACTGACTGGCCTGTGTCAGTGGCTATGTATGGTGACATGGGTGCAGTCAATGCTCAGTCTCTGCCAAGGTATGCCGCTCTGTGTTTGTGTATTAAAATAGAACTTTTTCTGTAAATTGGTAAATGTTTGATCATATTCTATATTTTTTGGTATTTTTGTTTAGCACATGTAGTTGGTAACGTTCATGACTTTTGCTCTGTGAAGGACTGAGTTTTATCTTTGAATTGTCATCTGTGATAGTTATGACTTCGCAGTATTACAAATTGTAATATCATATAAAGTATGGACTACAATCAATTATCATTCCTGTACCAAGGAAGGTTGATCTAAAAGAATATAGTAATTATAGAACAAGCCTCATTAGCCATCCAAGCAAAGTGCTATTATGGATAATACTTATCTGGTTGAAGCTATGGGATGATGATGATAAATACATTTCTAATTGTCAATTTTAATCAGCCTAACATGAGGGAGGAATATAATCTGGTCTCACTGTATCCAAATATTGCAGTACCATCTTTTTTCTTTTTACTTTTTGTATATACAGCATATTTATCATGATTGTTGTTATCATATTTTTATCATAAGCATCATTATGTTCATGGTCATGGATATTGTTATTGTCATTATATTAATTTACCTAAAACATCATCATTATTATTATTTATTTATTTTCCCTTTTCCTTTTTATTATTATTATTATTATTATTATCAGTTCTGTTCTATTAAACATTCAAATGGTTATTATTCTTATAAAATTCTTATAAAAATGTCTTCTTGTTTTCAGGTTACAGGAGGAGGTTCAGAGAGGAATGTATGATGCTGTGATTCATGTGGGAGACTTTGCATACAACATGGACTCGGTAAGATAGCTATCTAGCTTACCCTCTTAATTAAAGGAAATTTGTTTAATTGGTACAAAAAAGTGTGCTGAATGTGTTATACATGTAAATTTTATCATATTCAGTATATTTATGTTTGCTTAAAACTCTAGCAAACCTTTGTATGGTGATGTGGCATTAGATTTCAAAAGCCTATTGTCTTAACACCATCACATGTTAATTCTCCCAAAAGGATAATGCTCGTGTCGGAGATGAATTCATGCGACAGATTCAACCCATTGCTGCCTATGTGCCTTATCTGACTTGCCCTGGCAACCACGAACAGATGTAGTGAGTTTTTTTCTTGAACTTTGTATTTTTAATTTTTTTGAAGAAGTAAATGACCGCTATAGGAGAAAAGCCACTATTTTTGTCTGTGTGCTTATTTTGAATGGTCATGCCACTGATGTTGTGAAAATGGAACATGAATTTTCTATATTAGCTGATATGCAAGGGGCTTGATATTGTGATATGACCTCCATCTCTGTTTGACTTGTGCATATTATAAGACAGGTCTAGATTAAAGAAGAATTAGCAAATGAGAGAGAAAGAAAAGAAGATAGAGGGAGAGAGTGAAAAAAATAGAAAGCTAATGAGAAAGAGCAAGAGAGAGGATATTAACCATTGTGTTTTTTCATATTGCTTTAGTCCTGCCACTGACTGGATGCAGATGCTGCATTACTTCACTAGAATAAGTACCAAAATAATGGATTTCAATCAAATCATGTCTTATATTAACTTGTAATAGGTGAAGCATTTTCTGGCCTAGTAAGTTATTGCTCAGCAGATTCCTGTGGTTTTGTAATTTTTGCAGTTTTAATATGCCAGTATTTGCTTATTTGCTTATCAGCTGAGCGGGTTAGTGGTCTCAGTTGCAAATTTAGGTAAACAACCTGGAAACTTAAAAAATATATGTTAATGCTATAGCAGATTCCTGGGATTTTAGAATTTTTGCAGTTTTAATAGGTCAGTATTTGCTTATTTCCTTATCGGCTGAGCGGGTTAGAGGTCTCTGTTGCAAATTTAGGTAAACAACCCGGAAACTTAAAAGATATATGTTAATGCTATACATTATTTTTATAAAGACATTTAATGGACTTACACAACAAATATGTGTCTATCCTATAGCAACTTCAGCAACTACAGAGCAAGATTCAGCATGCCCAACCATGAGGACACAGAGAACCTTTTCTTCAGTTGGAACATGGGTCCAGTTCATTTTATTGCTGTCAACACTGAGGCATACTATTTCCTGGAGTATGGCCTCAAACCTCTCTCTCGTCAGTATGACTGGCTCATCAAAGACTTGGAGGTAAAGTATAAGAGTATGTTAATAGCTTATGTTACTGTGAAAATAGGGGTATTGGAAGGATTAACCTGTTGATACCTGGAATTCTTGTACACCTGCACTTTCCACTGTGGTTTTATCTGTTTATTTATTTATGCATAAATGGCCCCATTAGTTGATATTCACAAAGGAGTTGGTTACTAGGTCTATCTGATTCCATTATCATTATTAATATTGGTTATGATAGTTGTTATTATCAGGTAATAGTCTTTAATCTAGACTGTAGAATAAGTACATAGGAAAAAGATAAAGCTGATAAAATGCTTAATGCAAATAAGAAAAGAAAATTTAATTCATTTGGAACAATTGAAGCAACTACAAAACAAACAAAAGAGTAATTAAAAGTAAAAGACAATGTAAGTGGTCACTGTACAGTGTCCAGCAACAAGAAAATGGTACCCCATTTTCTAGTATACAGACCATTGGTGTCAGGGAGTTAAATCCTTAGTGCTTGAGGTTCATGGATGCTTTCTTCATGTCTTTTGCTTTGTCAAAATCCATATGTAGTTTGATGTTACTGTGATGGTGCTTATGTATTTGTCTCATCTAATAATATTTCAACAAGAAAGTGAAAACAAAAATGAAATTTATTGTTTGAAAAAAATATGGAGCATGATATTAGAAAACAGGTTGGCATTAGTTAACAACCCTTAACAATTATTATGCTTTTTTAATTTCTTACATTTAATACTTTATATGGCCTCCAGAATGTCGCTGAACTTCTTTCATGTGCTGTAGCAATGATAGGCCTAGGTTCTTTGCCCAGAACTCCATAACCCATTAATTGCATGATTAAAAATGGCTAGTGGCCATTACTGTGGGCTTGTTGGCATGTATTTGCTATCTTTGATGGGCTAATGGCACTGGGTATGTCATTATGCAGTGTCATCTGTGACTGCAGGACTTCACGCCTTATGAAGGAAGCTGGTGACTCTGTCTTGCAAATTACTTTTTCTTATATGCCACAAGTTTTCTATAGTATTGATATCCAAGCCTTTTCTAAGTCAGTCTTTAATATAAGTCATCAAGCCAGTTTTTCAGATTTTACCATGTAAGCAGGAGCACCATCTTATTGCAAAACTTTGGCACTACCTAGTTTGTTGGAGTCAGGGAAATAGTTATATATTAGCTCAAAATAAACAAATTGGCTGGCAACACAAAGTTACCTAACCCCTTATTGGGGAAGGAACCCCAGACCATCAAAGAATTTGGGTGTTTTATAATTCCACAAATAAAATGAGGGTTGGAGTCACTACCCTTAAGCTATCAGACATTTCTACCTGTGTTGCATGTCACTTACAGGCATCTTCATTGCCCTACAAGAGGGTTAGCCAGTATTCCTCATTCCAGGTTGAGGGGTGATTGAGATCAAAACTTGTATAAGAAAAGGGTTTAGTGCTAATTGTTATATCAGCCTCAACAGCGTAGAAAGTTCAGACACGTGCACTACGACGAGAGTCCAGCAGGCTGACGGCGTGTCTTCGCTTCTGTGATCGGACCAACACCCTACTCGTCTACTCTCTCTTATCCTATTCGACATGACGACACGCCACTAAATGGGGAATGACCATACCTCCTCACACTCACAGCGGATCACTGTCAGCTGCGTGAAGCCATGCGGCCTTTGAACACGCCCAGGAAAGGAAGGTAGGCCTCTTGGCAGCTCTCTAGCCAGGACAAGGGGCTCATACTCAGCCCCTACCTACCTCAAGGCGTAACATGCAGTCTGATCAGGACGAGGCAATCCCGGTATGTCGCTCTATGTTACCTCTGCTATGTTAGTGTTCATCTTACCGCGCTTCCCACTCCTTCATTTCGTACTAGAGCTTCCATCTCAGATATAGCCCTTCTGCGACGCGTTATCTGACAACTGAACGCTCTTATCATATTCAGAGTCAGGCTTCTGAGAAACACCAACATTAGTTTCTCTCTTGCGTCGAGCCTGTAGTACACCGCCGCGCCTCTCACATATGCAGGGGACAGGCGATCGCGACGGCATCTCGATGATAGGACCCCGCAGCCTCGTAAGGCTCGAACTGATCTGGCCAATAGGCACCATTTCACTGACATTGCTCCTCCGTTCCCTTGAATGACTCTCCCTTCACAAGGGCCGGAAGAAATTGCAACGTCTGCACCTATTCAGTGTCGCGTGGCGACCCGAGTAGCCACCCCACCTAACCTACCCTTCTCACAGCCGTCGTTCCTCTGGACTTTAGCCCTAGATGGCACAACCAAGCGACACCTTTGACTGCTCGTCTAGCCTACCAGCGAGGTGGCGACCAATACCCACCTACCGATCCTATCTAGATACCGAGCACCCTAGCCTCTCACTGCAGTTAGACACCCGCTACTAACCTGGCGCCTGACTCTACTACACCCTTATTTCGCCCCACCTACCTCCTCTCCACACCCTACCTGCAGTCCTTGAGAGTCCGGCATAGCGGAAGCGCTATGCGCCTCCCACGGACCTAGTATCTGGCGTAGACAAGTAACCAACTCTCTTCTAGTCCCTGAGCCTGCTGCTTCCTATCCTTTCGCCCTCATGTAACATGCTCTGAGGCCCCAAGCTTGAATCCATCTTCCCTTGACACCTCCTCCTCTCGCGCGCGTGTCTCTCTCTCATTCCAATGCACTGAACACATCTCTGTCACCACCACACCCTAAGACACTCAAACCATTCTACGGGCTTCGCCCCTCACTAACTCACTACATCTATTCCTCGCACTCGACCAACCAGACCCACTAGGCACTTTAGTGCGCACTCGTGCCACAGCCAGCGCATGATCTCTCTCTAGCACATTGACACGCTTCCCCACCACGCTGGCTGCGTCTCTCTATGCACCTTAGTGCAAGTTAGCAGTGTTTTGCATGAACAAAGTTTTCGTTCTAGATCTAGATTCTCGGCTTCCGCAACGCTCAGTATGCACTGCGATGCAATTTTCTCTCTACGTGATGGTATTTCTTGCTTATGGCGATTGTGCCGAGAGCTTGATATTGTAGGATCATGTCCAGGCTACATCTTCAATCTCACTAAACTTGCAATTTGCCAGTGGATGTCATTCTATGAAATAATTTCTTTGAGCTTTATACATATTATTATCGTTATGATTTATTATGTTCTTCAATCGCCTACCTATTTAATGCATTGTTGAGTATCAATTTGTGAATCTAATTATTTCTATTATCATTGGTTTTCATTCTATCATACTTGTTAGACCAATTATTACTGGATAACTATTATCAATTTCTATATAGTTGAAGGCAGGCATCGTCTTATTTCTCCCATCATATCATATCGACCAAATCGCTTATAGACCAGTGGCAAGTTACTCATTGACATGTGAGAGTATTGGAGATAAGTAGTCAGCTACAATTTACGATAATTCGAGTGTATGTGATCGTAAGTCCGCAGAAAGGGGTTTGCCATTATTGTATAGTCAGTCAAATGGCTTATTATATTACTGTTATGTTGTATTCATTGTATTCAATTCCAGAATTCATCTGATTACATTATAAGTATATAAAATAATGAAGCATCATAGATTAAATGATATACAAGTGACAAGTCTGTGAGAAAGAGAAGAACTTGAATCATATTTTGTTTTAGAGTAAATGATCATGTACTAGAGTTTAAGAGTGTATGGATTAATCGTTTATTATCAGAGTAGTACGGATCTGTTAGAGGAGATCAACAAAATAATTCCGAATATCCATTTGGCTGGGCTAACAGAGTATCAGAAAGTTTGATTGAGGTAGATATTGTTATACTGATATGTAGAGTAGTGTCATTAGTGAGACATTAGTTTGTTTGTATATGCATGTGCTTATAGTATTGTTGATCAGATGTAGTTGATTGATCTAACAAACTAAAAGCTGTGATCTATATACCAAGTAATAGTTATAGAATTATCAAATAGTGGCGTCTATGATCGTTGAGGGATTTTCATGATTAACAGTATGTGAAATATTAAATAAGTACACTTGTTTGTGAGTGTAGTGAGATTAAACATGGTGAAATGCTTCTTTGTGGGAAAGTGAATTACGGTATATGTCTTATCTGTGGACGAGTATTATATCCCGTAATTATATCCTGTGTGATGATTGTTAGTTGTATCGATTGGCTCATTGTATCTGATATTCTATTACAACATTATTATGCATATTTTATTAGTATTATTAGATATCATTGGTGATTACGTATTGTTACCATTGGTATTCGAATGTTGTATAGTGAGTATTCTAGCTCATGATCAAAGTGAATAGAGAGTTAACGCATGTTGGATCATCTAGGGATAATCATGCGAGAATTAAATTAGGTGAGTTGTGTGTATTGTTTCGATAAAGGCATAGTCATCAATTCTCAGTCTCCTTGAATAATATTTACGTAGTCTTCAATTTTTGCTTAGTCTATTCTTATATTTCTATGCTTGCAGAGAAGGTGTGTCTCCCCTCTAGTATTCTTATTATATTGTTTGCGATAATGGGCAGTTGTCAAATTTACTTATCAACTAGTGAATACATTTTTGCTATTACTGGTCCATGCGATTCACCCAGCCATTTTATCATGTGTGCGGATTCATTATCCCTAATCAATTATTATGATTTTAGTCTACATCACAACGCCCAATTCAATCGTAGGTCACATAGTTTTGATCTCACATGTCATTATGTATCCCATGTGTTATTGCTATTTAAAATGTCGATTTTATGATATAATCGTTGTTAACCATTACTGACATTGAGTTCAGTCGTAAAATTGATCCACTCCTAATGATATGAGACTAACAAAGGTGTCCTTAATGCTAATATAAGGCTAATGTCCAATCACTATATAATTAGATAGATTTGCATTGTGTAATTTTATTTATAATTTAGCGATAAATCAAATAATTTAATCGAACTAGCTAATATTTTAATAATACCTCTTATTCTCACCAAGTCATTCGTATATCATATCTCTGAGT